ATGCATGTCAACGCACTTGATAGTCCGTTGGGTGACATCACCCCATCATGTACAATTTCCATAAACTCCTTCGATATTCCACTTTTCACAGAGAGAACGAAAGGAAAATGAACAATAGTATCCACGCGCCTATTTAAATAGCCGGAAGATGCCGTAGTAAAGCAGGTACCAGTCGAAGTGCACTCATAACGAGTGTACAATAGTTCACACTTGCAATCCACGGCTCCAACTGTACGTTGCACATACTCCTTCACGCGAGGAGTACACAGACACTTAGGGGAAATGCACTCTGCCTTGCCTCCATTAAGACATTCAGGAACCCAAACGACTAAAGGTCGTCTGAACAGCTTGGATAAAGGCGCCATGTCGTCGTTCCGGTTGGATGCTTCAGGGTACACTATACTCGGCGGGAAAGTACAGCGGGAAATTGCTTCTTGGATGAGACGCCTTCGCTCGTCTGAGTCCATGATGCAGACGATGACTCCGTCCTTTCAGATCTCGTGCCTGTTTCCCGCTATCAATGCCTTTTAGATTCTAAAGTGATATTTTTGGAGGAGCGGAGCGGAGGTCGGAGGAGTAACCACTCGGAGCGGAGATACCGGGGCCTGGCGGCCCCGGTATCTCCGATAAACCTAGTGAGATAGTTGGGCTCGCATTGTCGCTTGTTCTTTCGTTCCTTGCCTTCCACGGCGAGGGCCAGCGCAAGCAGGAGCACGGAGCATCCACTGCCGCCGTCGGTGGCCATTGTGCTGTGAATGCGGAGTCAGAGTGAATGTATGTCTCAGGTGTCTACGACTACCGCTGCGGGTGGAGTCACTTTCCTAAATTCTGAGATGGATTCCCAGATTTAGATCTGTGGCAGCAATCTGAGCTGCGGGAATCGTTCCAATAGCGATTATGTAGGAGGTACGAGCTTATAACTCAGCTCATCGAGTTACTAATTTACCTTTGTGTGTTTCAGTTGTATAACTTCCTCCGTAAAATGTGAACAAACTTATGTTGTTTTAATAAGAAAGCTTACCGTACGTAATACGAATTCATTCGAGCCAAATCATTACCCAGTACTTAAGTCAACCAAAAATCCAAGTGATTAACCACAGGTAATCATCTGCCACAACAACACGGGTAAACCTAGGAGCTCTTTCAAATCTTGAGTACGGACATGCAACGACTCTTCATCAACCAAATGATAATTTCTCGTAGGTTGTTCACGGACTGAATCAGCTCCAAATGTAGTGACTAAATAGATCAAGTGTGTAGTTTTAGATATGCTGGGTTCCAGTAAAAAAAATATTTGTAATCTCAACTTGCCTCTGCAAACCATCTTGTAAGTGCGGTGATCCTGCGGCTAGTACAAGTAAATCTTTCTTTAAGTTAGCCTTGGATCGACCTTTGAGTGCCATTGCTTGCTTCGCAAGTGATGCCTGCGAAGCTCGCAAACTTCAACGGCTCACGGTGCGATTCAATCTGTAACGGTAAAACGGGGTCAAACCGACAGAAAAAAATGCAATGATGAACGGATCCCACAAAAAAAATTCTCTCTGCTAGTTTTTCTCACGGTACTATCTCTTGGAGATTTAATAACCTGCGTTTACGCACTAGTTTAGACTGTTTTAATTCGGTGACGTTACCGATTGTATGAACGAACCTTTAGTAGCGACAGAGTAGTTACTCCTCTCCTTTGTTTTACGAAATGCCCCGCCGGACGCACGGCAGATGTTAAGCCCTCGCGAGTTCAAGCAGGTTAGACTTCGACACGCCTACAAAGGAAAAACAGCGTGGGTAACAATCCTGCGATACTTCCCGACCAAAGCCCGTTAGCCCTTAACTATCCGCTGTCAAAAATTGCTTTGAACAAGCTACTTTTGCTCAATGTTCAGCTTACATTGTGATGTCAGCTGAATATTGAGTGAGATAACATCGAGCGAGTTACACAGTACCGTGGATTTAATTTGTTGAGGTCTGTCCATACCTAAAGGTATTCCCAGTATAAGTTCCTTCTGTAAGGAACAATATCCTTTTGATGTTTTTGCAGAAAATCTGCGCGGGAATGGACAAGTTTTCCCTATTATGAATTCTCCAACAGCGCGTCAAACTTCTTGACATATCGCTCAATCATTTGATCCGATGTCGGCACGCCATTAAGCATCCGTTTAAGATCTGCCGGTTTCTTCTTCGCAGCAAGCCATGTATCAACAAGCGCATTCTGCAAATTTGCTGCAAGTTTCTCCGTGTTGAGGTCGCTTTTGGCAGCATCAAATATCCGCAGTAACCATCTATCGTTGTAGTTCGCCCTGAGTCCATCGATCATTGTCGTTTTCTGCTCGGAATATCGTTTATTGAAGTCATCGAGATACTTGGCCCACGTCGCGAACTTTGGACTGCTGAGACTATTTTCAAATACGTTGTCAAGGTGCAAGAAGCGAAACGCATCTTCAGGGGGCTTTGCAGCGTCTAGCCATGTATCCAGCCACGCACTCTCCGCCTGTTTCGCGATATTCACCGACTTTGGATTCTTCATCGCCTGCTTGATCGCTCCTTCGACCCCGGACCAACCGTAGTTAAAACGAATGGGATCAATCCAGGACTCTTGGCGATCCGGGTTCTTCTTGTTAAATACCTCCACGTAATGCATCCACCTCCGGAATAGTGGAGTGCTGAGAATGTTATCCCCGATACGGTCAAGCCCTAGAAGACCGAACGCCTTACTGGGTAATTCCCACCTGGCAAAAATTGCTTGGATCTTCTTCTTCTGCATCTTAGTTGCAGTGTTCTTCATGCTGGGAAACCCCTTCGCTACTTCGAGAATTTGGAGCAGAGCCTTGTCACTATAGCGAGTCTCCAATACTGAGAATATAGAAGATACCTTGGTGGGATTTTCAGTGATGACAGTATTCATGTATGCGACCCACGTGTTAAGCAGTGGATTGCCAAGGAAGTCATTCTCTGTTGTGTGAATCCACAGCCGTACCAACACATCGTCGACTGACCTCCGGTCGTGTAGCCACATCTGGAGCTGCGCCATTTCTAGTTTCGCTGCGATATCCTTTGTGGCATCGTTCGCCTTCGCTGCGTTAATCATCTTCGCCACGTTATTATCGTCAAATTTCTGCGTCAGCGTCTTGATCATTGTCATTTTCTCTTCTGGGTATCTCGCATTGTAAACATCTACGTACTTGGCCCAAAAGTTGAACAGTGGATCTTTCAAAAGTGTATCAGCATTGTCAAGGTCAAGGTCTCTCAGCGCTTTGTCCGGTGTTTTACGGCTGACTGCCCAGTCCTTGATCACTTCAGTCTCCAGCCTTGTAGCGATACTTTTGGTCGCTTCCACGCTCTTCACCGACTCGGCCATTGTAAGTAAATCGACGTCTCTATAGTGTTGCCGCAGCGTCGAGATCATGGGCCTCGCTTTCTCGGGGTTATTCATGCTCAAATCGTCCATGTACTTAGCCCAAGCTGCGAATTCTGGGCTGCTGAATAATTTCATCCGTGTTTTACCGAGCTTGTCAAGCTTGAACAAATGGAAGACCTCATCGGGATCTTTTGCAACAGCCACCCAGTGATCCATTTGATCAGCTTGCAATTTCGAGGCGAGTTCCTTCATCCGCGGGATCATTTTAGCGTCTACAATCATCTTGTATAGCGCATCGTCGCCGTACTGAGTTGTCAGTACCGATATCGCTGGCGTTCTTTTCTGATAGGTTTTGGCATTTAGATCGTCGACGTATTGGAGCCAGGTCTTAAACTGGGGATCGTAGAACAACAAAGAGCCGACGTTGGTAAGGTGCATGCGCGTGAACACCGTTTCTCCTGATTTCCCTTCATTCAGCCACTTCTGAAGCTGTCGTGGGTTTACATTCGAAGACATGAACCAGGATTTGAGCTTTTCAGAGGCAGGTACGGAGAGTCCCGCCCTCTCTTCGCTTTCTTCATCGTCGGTGTCGCTAGTTCTCAAGAATCTCGTCGTGGAGACAACAGACGTACTAGATGACCAATTGGAAACTTTAGGGGACTGTACGCTCGAGGTTACAATAGGCGAATTGGCGTCAGTAGAAGTGATGGCGGCTAAGGAAGCCAAGCCAACTAGGTAGAGGAGGCCCATCGCTCGGAGATGTAAGTCGCACAATGACAAAAGGTTTAACAATGCGCACTACTGTGCACACAAGCGCCAATTACAGCTGTTAACTACCTCAGCTTTGCTTGTCGCATATGCTGAGTATTATGTATCTAGTGCTGCTAATATACGGACTACATGATCCCACGCAAATTGTTTGACGAAAATCCTTTCTTTTTTCACTACTTCAAGTGTAGTTTGAATATGTTTACGGTTCGTGACTGCAAAATTTGATGTATCCAGCCTTCATTAAAATCATCGGATTCAAAGCTGCGAGCAGCTGTGAAAAAAA